TGTTTCTCAAAAACTAAACGTAATTTTTCAAAACGGCTTGTTGCATTAAAAAGAGGATACTTTAATTAATATATGGTGATATTTCCACAAGGATCCTTCACGAAATTAATTTTATAAACTCCTTTTTTACTTACTTTAATGATAATCCCAATTCATGAACAGCTTGTAGCACAGTTTGAAGAGTCGATTTCTCATCTTTAAGTATTTGAGTGGCTAATCTTTGTAAAACCAACGCAATGTTATATAAAAGGACAGTATCTTGAGGTGCAACCCTTCGTGCTTTTAAGAAAACCATTTTGGCCTCTTTTAATTTCCCCGCTCGGAAATAAGCTCTCGCTAAATATTGGAGTCCCTCGACGTGATTATATTTATAAAACTTCCTCAAACAATTCTCGTACATTTGAATCGCGCTAACAAACTGTTTCTGTTCGACGTAAATATGCGCAATATTCAACCAAACGTCGCAAAAATCGGCGGTCGCTTCACGAACTTGCGCGAAAATATCACGAGCTTCATTAACACATCCTTTATGCGCCAAAACCGACCCAACTCCGTTAGCGGCCCAAATATTTTTCGGATCAATCTTTAAAACTTGTTTGTACATGGCTAAAGCGCGATCTTGATGTCGTTTTTCGCGATCTTTGTCTTTAGTGGGTAGATGTAAAGTTTGGAGCCAAACATTTCCCAACGCAATTAACGAATACGAATCTTGAGAAGTGGCGGGGTTCTTTAAAACTCGTTCATATTTTTTTTGACCCGGTCCCCATTCGCTTTTAGCTAAATGTAAGTTACCTAAAAGTGACCAAGCATCCGGATGTTCCGTGTTAATTCGAAGAGCCTCTTTAAACCAATCGGAAGCTTCGTAAATTTGACCTTTATCCCTCGCCATGCAACCTAATCGCAAATAACAATCAACATAATTAGGATGTTCTTTGAGTATATCTTTGTATAATTTCTCAGATTTATCGAATAAACATAAAGCTTCGTTTAATCGCGCTAAATTATAAGTCGTTGTGACGGAAATTGAATTATAATATTGGGGATCATGTTCAGCTTCAGATTTAGCCCGAATTAAAGCTTCCTCCAAATTCTTTTTAGCCTCATCCAAATTATTTAAGCGATAATGTAACGCTCCAACGTTATTTAAAATCTCAGTCGGTATCTCAGCTTGGACATCTTTTTTTAATATCTTAATCGCAGTTCCATACGCGTTTAAACTCCCTTGTAAATCGGATTGCTCCAAAATTTGAGCCAACTCAATCCACGCTTCGATATCATCCGGAAATTGTTCGGTAACTTTTTTTAAATGATTCTTTGCGATATCCCTTTTCGATTGCGAGGTTGAATTCGCGTACAAAGATCCTAATATTTTCATGGTTTCGTAATTTCCAGGTTGGGCTTTTAGAACTTTTTCGAAGCATTGCGCCGCGTTTTCGGAATCGCCCCGATAAATATACATTTGCCCCAAACCAAAATGGGGTAAAACAAAGGGGGCTGGAGCAAATTGAGTTGCTTGATAATAATATTGAAACGCTTGATCATAATCGCCCTGTACGTGAAAAGCCCTTGCTAATTGATAACAACTTTCAGCTCGCATCGCTTCATTTTCGGTGTTATGGAATGCGTGTAAAGCAAGATGTTGCACTTTATTGTAATCCTTTTTAAAGAAAAAATGATTTGCTAAATGATTTAAAACCATCGGGTTCGAAGAATCGATCGTGTAAGCTTTTGAAAGCATTCGAACCCCGTTTCTTATCGATTCGGGTTGTTGTTGGTTCAATTTTAAAATCGCTAATCCCACTAAAGCTCCAACGCATTGCGGATCAAGCGATAATGATCGCTCGAAAGCTAAACGAGCTTTATCTTGATTGTTTAATTTCATGAAGCAATGTCCCATTCCTAATCGAACAGCGGCGGGACAACTCGGATTCGTTCTTAAAGCTTTTTTATAGAAAGCTAAAGCCCCGCGGAAATCTTTTTTGTTATATGCAATACAAGCTTTTCCTAATAACGAAGGAATATTATTCGGGGATTGATTCAAAACGAAATTAAATTGGGCATCTGCTTGTTCCATTTTATCGCCTTCCAGTAAACAGAAATAAGCTCTTCCCAATAAATGATTCTAAAAAACAACAAAAAAGAATTAATAAAACGATCAATAAATTACTTAATTCAATAAAAGTTGAAAAAGATGTTCTTTTTTTAACATAAATCGATAGGAAATTAAAAATCCTTTAAAATGAACCCAAACATGACCTATTTATCTCCAACCGTTATCGAGATATCTTAATTAGCAAAAAAAAAGTGCGATTTTTTGACATTTGACAGTTTATAACCTAACTTTTTTATTTTTTAACTCAAATACGTCGTGTTTGGTATCAAATTAAAGCATTTTTAATTCTTATTAAGATTATTTCAATATTTATCAAAAAATCGTTATATTTAATTTTGACATTTGACAGTGTCTAACCTAACTTTTTTATTTTTAACCCAAATATATCATGTTTGGTATCAAATTAAAGCATTTTTGATTCTTATTAAAATAATTTTAATATTTATCAAAAAATCGTTGTAATTAATTTTGACAGTTCCTAATTTAACTTTTTTATTTTTTAACCCAAATCTATCATGCTTAGTATCAAATTAAAGCATTTTTGATTCTTATTAAGATCATTTCAATATTTATCAAAATATTGTTATATTTAATTTTGACATTTAACAGTTTCTAACCTAACTGTTTTAATTTTTAACCCAAATATATCATGTTTGGTATCAATATTTATTAAAAAAATCATCCTGCACCCGACCAACACGGCTGAACATGCCCGAGTAGTCAGACACAACCAAATTTTTTGGATTACTGGGTAAAGTCCTATTTGTTTCTTAATAAGGATCAATTAAAAAAAATATTTTAATTATAAAGGTGTTCCGTTTTTAACATAAATGGATAGAAAATTAAAAATCCTTTAAAATGAACCCAAACACGACCTATTTATCTCCAACCGTTATCGAGATATCTTAATTTTTGCAAAAAAAAAATGGCGATTTTTTGACATTTGACAGTTTATAACCTAACTTTCTTATTTTTTTGACGTAAACATATCGTGTTTGGTATCAAATCAAAGTATTTTTGACTCTTATTAAGATAATTTCAATACTTATCAAAAAAATCGCTGTTTAATTTTGACATTTGACAGTTTCTAACCTAACTTTTTTATTTTTTAACTCAAATACGTCATGTTTGGTATCAAATTAAAGCATTTTTAATTCTTATTAATTGTAAGATTATTTCAATATTTATCAAAAAATCGTTATATTTAATTTTGACATTTGACAGTGTCTAACCTAACTTTTTTATTTTTAACCCCAATATATCATGTTTGGTATCAAATTAAAGCGTTTTTGATTCTTATTAAGATCATTTCAACATTTATCAAAACATTGTTATATTTAATTTTGACATTTAACACTTTCTAACCTCACTTTTTTATTTTTTAACCCAAATATATCATCTTTGGTATCAATATTTATTAAAAAAATCATCCTGCATCCGACCAACACGGCTGAGCATGCCCGAGTAATCAGACATAACCAAATTTTTTGGATTACTCGGGTAAAGTCCTATTTGTTTCTTAATAAGGATCAATTAAAAAAATATTTTAATTATAAAGGTGTTCTTTTTTTAACATAAATGGATAGAAAATTAAAAATCCTTTAAAATGAACCCAAACTTAACCTATTTATCTCTATCCGTTACCGAGATATCTTCATTTTTAGCAAAAAAAAAAAAATTGTGGTTATTTGACATTTGACAGTTTCTAACCTAACTTTTTTATTTTTTAACCTAAGTGTATCATGTTTGGTATCAAATTAAGGCATTTTTGATCGTTATTAAGATAATTGTTATATTTATCAAAGAATCGTTATATTTAATTTTGACAGTTTCTAACCAAACTGTTTTATTTTTTAACCCAAATATATAACATTTTTGATTCTTATTAAGATCATTTCAATATTTATCAAAATCGTTACATTTAATTTTGACATTTGACAGTTTCTAACCTTTTTTTTTATTTTTTAACCCAAATATGATATATTTGGTATCAAATTACAGCATTTCTGATTCTTATTAAGATTATTTCAGTATTTCTCAAAATCGTTACATTTAATTTTGACATTTGACA